CTAAATTGGCGAATAGTGGTTTGAAGTCCGGGTGGAACGGTTTGAATCTGACAGATAACTCATTGAAGGGAGACGGTAAAACTTACGGCAAGAGCTTCCCAGCCTCCGCGGATAACTTTACCCACTTACTCTGCGATTAAAATTGTGCGTAACAGGTATGTACACAAAAACTTACCGTGACAACGGGTACAGCATACAGTTCTTCAGCTTCACCAACCTCGACCGATGAGGGGTCGTCGCTAATGGCAAATCGCACACTTTCTGACAGAAGCGGGTGATTTACAGCTCCCCATGACTTCAACTGATCAATAACCTATTGGAAAATGGATGTTTATCAGAGAAATTGAATAAAGTGTGGAGTGTTAGAAAAATATAAATGGAAAAGCTTCATCCCTCACCTCATTCCGCTTGCAACTGGCATCCAAGAAAACGCCTTGGAATACAACGGATGAAATAGGAGAGATGTGAATGACAGTACAGATAAATTCGGATTTCGAACTTCTTCGACAAAATACATTCACTGGTGCCTAACCAAATCTTTCGAATAACTCCTCATGTAAAACAAACCCTCGAAAGTCTCAAGCACGAACTAGCAACGGCGAGTCTGGCGACCATTCGCTTTAATATCCCTTTTGTCATCGAAACTGATGCCTCGGACGCGGCAATCGCTGCTAAGCTGAATCAGGAGGGACGCCCTGTGATGTTATTGTCTAGGACATTAACTCAGGGGGGAGACATAATTCAGCAGTTGAGAAAGAAGCGTACGGCGTGGTAGAAGCCGTCCAGAAAAGGAGTCACATGCTACTCAGCAATCATTTCAAACTCATCAGCGGTCAGTCTTCATCGTTTTCGGGAGAGTCGAAAATGATAAAATCCTACATTGGAAAACGGAACTGTTTCCCTACAGCTTCGATATTGTGTATAGACCTGAAAAGCAAAATACGGCCGCCGACGAACTTAGTCGACCTTGCTGTGGAGCATCATCATCATCATCATCATTGTACAGCGTAAAACGGTGAAGCTAACTTTATTGAACGGTGCCCAAACTCATATTGCATACAAGGTAAGTGAGAATGTGTAAGGAGGATAGGGATTGGACTTAATTTTAGGGACGGGAAAAGAAATCGAACCTCTATGGCCAACACAAAGAATACACAGCCCAATTGTGCATACATACTACTTTAAGCAGTGGCAGCATGATAGCCATTGCTGTCGGTTCACAGCCATGACCTTCAGTGTCTCCAACCATGCGGTTTCGGGCTCCACCCCGGAAGACGAGAGACACATACTCTACATAATTGCTCTCTGCATTTCTTCATGCTTCGTCTCCACGTCATCTGCTGGCTTTCATGCAGCTTTTTCCGGTTTGTAACAGACACTGCAAACAAGGCGCGCTGGGGTGTGCGACCGTAGGACATACGCAAAACATGTCCTAACCAACGGAGGCTATTGAGCTGGATTCGATGAGACAGCGAGTTCTTGTTTGATGTATTCCCAATAATCCGACGACTTGCTTCTAAGTTACTAACCCCCTGACTTCATCCCACTTGGGCCAGACAACGTAAGCATCGACTGCCGAAAACTACTCAATGACGGATGTCTTTCAACCGTAAAGCAGAACTGACCGTACAGTATACGAGACTTTTCAACTTCAATGAAATATCACGTCGCTGCCGTCCTGAGTACGCTGCTCGAGCACTGGAAATGCGGACGGTCATCTCCTTTGATGCGCTACCGTCGTTGGTCACGCAGCTACCTAAGTACGAGAAACAGTCAACTTCAGCTAATTCCTGAGCGTCTAATTTCAGAGCAGAACTCGGCGACACCCAGTCTTGTAGCATCACTTTGCACTTTGAAGGTGTAAAGCATATACCGAACGGAGCGACAGAACTTGCTAATTTGTCAAGTGCTCTTTATGCATCCTCTGCACATTCGAAAAAATAGACGATTTCGTCAGCGTACTCCAAATCGCACAGCTTTCCATCAGCTGCCCATTCAATACATACATTTTGGAGACCACGTAGTGCGTTCTCCAGTATTTTGTCTATGACGAAATTGAACAGGAATAGCGTGAGGGCACCTTTGACGAAAACCACTATTAGTTACGAACGATTTACTCAGCTCGCCGTAGACTCAGCCTACCAGAAGCATGCGATTAGAGTGATATATATTATATATTGGATTTCATACACGTCTGAGTTCAGATTGTATACCAAACAAATCGCGGTACAATAATCTTTATGAAAAGAAAAACGTTCCATGATTTGCAAGTGGGCCGAGTGAATTCAGTATGTTCACGTACTTCTGCGGCCTTCCTTTGCGAAGGAGCGAACGCATGAAGGATTCACGATCAACTGAGTCCAAGACTCCTTTTAGATCAAGGAACACAATCGTTGGTCGACAGTGCGTATGGCATAGCTCGAGGACTTGATGTAGAGTGAAGATTTGATACATTCGCGGCCTGGTCGAAATCTTGCTTGTTGTTCACGGATGTTTGACTCCCTAAATGGTGTCAGACGTCGAAGTATGATGGAAGCTAGCAACTTGGTGACGACTCGGATCAAACTTATTCCACGGCGGTTTGCGCAGTCATTGCGAGATTCCTTCTTAAAAATTGGAACGATCAGTTATTCGCTTCAGGATGATGGAATGCACTCATGTGACCAGGTGTTACGCATAAAACCAGTAATGGAGTCTACGAGGTTATCGCCCCATCTTGAAAAGTGTGGGAGGAAGCCCGTCCGGTCCTGCTGCTTTTTCTTTCTTGAAGGCTTGGATGCAAGAACGAGCTTTTGCTGGAGCAGGAGGTTCACATGACACTGCCCACGGAACCTCAGCTACATCGGAGGAAACAGATATCACCTGACCTTTGGTGAACATGTCCGCAATTGACATAGCTAACATATCCCGTGAAACACCCACAAAACATGACACTATCGACATTATCTCCCCGGTAATTTAGATACGACAGCAAAACCGTGTGCGGCCACATTTTTACGAAAGAGAGAAGTTTAGTAAACATTTTCAAACGCCCTTATTTTTTTGCAAACATACATAGCATATTTATTTATTGTAAACCGAGTCTTCAACTGAAAGCCAGGGAGAATAACATAATACTTCGTATATCACTTTTCTGACTCATATCTCCTCTCTCTTTTTTCAGCTTCCATACGTACGTCCTATGTGGAACAAAGCCCAACGTTTGGTCTTTTCTGATTTCTCGTGCATGCCGCA